AGTTCTTCAAGAAAGATTTGATGAAAGCTTTGGAGGGGGACCCTACTGCTCCATCGTATTTGGGGGCTGTTTTGAATGTCGTAGACTTGCTAGCTGTGACTCCGGAGATTTCAAGCTTTATCATGGAGTTACACTCCATTATTGATCAAGTCTCAGCAGACTATCAGCGACAAAGGGGCTTCAACAGCCAGCTTGAAGCGTTAGATGGCAAAAGTTCTTCTGCATGGACTGCTGTAGCAGAGACGACTTCTCGAATTGCAGAGTTGTCGAAGCAAAAGGCATCTAAGCAGGAAGAAATTGATGCCATAGATCGAGAGAATGCTTCCATAAAGGCGCAAATCGAAGAGCTAGAGGCCAAGATGAATTCCAATACTAAGCGCAGGGAGGAACTTCTCTCGACTGTTCCAGACACCGAGAGTCAAGCTGAAATCACACAAGGCCTAGAGTTTGCTGAGAAAGCCCAAGCCTTGGACGACCAAATTGCCAAGCTTGCCCAGGCGAATGCCTTGTGCAACAAAAGACTGGAGTTGCAGCAGGCGAAGTACCTTCGACTCAAAGATTTGATCCCCTTCTGATTGACTCAGCCCTTTAACCATATATTGTAATATGTATTTGACAATATTGCCATTTTGGCTAATTTATAAAATTTTCCATTTTGGCTTATTTATGGTTAATTTAGTCATTACTTGCTATTTATTTTTATCTCTTGGAGCATAGGTTTATAATTTTTCAAATATTTGCCATTTACTCTCAAGAGCCTTTTATCTTCACCTAACTCTTCGACTTCATAAGCTCCACCAGAAAAAGTCTGGATGATTCTAAATGGTCCTTCCCATTTGGGTGACCATTTTACCATGCTTCGATCCCTTCAATCCATGGGAAGAATCACCTTCCAAACTAATTCTCCAGGCGAGAATGCCTTAGGTTTCACTTTTTTATTGTAAGAGTTTTCTACTCTTTTCTTCTGAAGCCTTAGTAGGTCAAGAGCGCGCAGTCTTTCTTCGTCTAAATCTACTAGTTCGTCTAACATCATATCCCAATAAACTTCAGAGGGAATATCATGGTGTCTCTGAACCCTTGCAGATTGAAGACAAATTTCTGCTGGCAACATTGCGTCATGACCAAAAGTTAGCCTATATGGTGTTGTACCTATGGCTTCTTTTGGGGACGTTCGACAGGCCCACAAAATCTGGTCTAACGTCTTATGCCAATTTTTTGGCTTCTTCCCAACATGCTTTTTTATCAAGCCAATCACTATTTTATTCGCTGCTTCGACTTGACCATTTGCCTGTGCGTAATAAGGCGTTGATGTTAGGAGTTTAAAGCCTGTTTCCTGAGCGAATTCCTGCATCTTTCAACTGGTGAAAACTGATCCTTGATCAGTAGTTATAGTCTCAGGGATTCCATATCTAAAGATAATGTTCTTTTGAATAAATTCAATGACATTTTCTTGGTCTACATTGACTAAAGGAATAGCTTCGATCCACTTAGTAAAATAATCAATGCCTACCAATATATACTTCTGGCTCTTTGATGATGCTGGTCGAATCTCTCCAATAAGGTCCAATGCCCATCCTCTAAAGGGCCAAGGTTTCACTATCGAGTGAAGTTCGCTTGCTGGTACATGTTGGATGCCTGTATGGACTTGACATTCTTGACAACCCTTGGCGAACTCGACACAATCTTTCAACATGGTGGGCCAGTATAGTCCTTGTCGAAACAACAACCATTTCATCTTATGGCCTACTTGGTGAGCCCCACATGCTCCAGTGTGCGTAGTCGAAAGGGCTATGTATGCTTCAGTTTCACTTAAGCATTTTAGCAATACCCCTTCAGGCGTCTTTTTAAATAACTCATTACCCATGAGTACGTAACTCAACGCCCTATACTTTGTTTTTCGTTCTGTCGAAGCTACTGGATTTTGAAGATAATCCACAATGGGTTTCCTCCAATCTTGCTCTGACAAATTGTCTATGAACGAAATTTCGAAGTTACTTTGATCAGCATACCCTAGTCTTGTCGACTCCAAGTCTGTTGATGACAAACAAGTTGCTTTTATCTTTTCTCGAACTTCGATTGCTCTTTGGAATCTCGTTTTTGAAATTTTGTACCCAGATGCAATTTGTGCCAAATCGTTGGCTATTTGATTTTCCAATCTGGGTATGTGTCGAATGTTGACCATTTCAAATTTTTTCAATAAACGGTTTGCTATCACAAAGTACATAATGAGATTTTCTCTTATGCATTTATATTCTTTTGTGACTTGCTTAATGACTAACTTTGAGTCTCCCATTATTTCGACTCGAGTTGCCCCCAATTCCAACAATATCTCAAGGCCAGTAATTAGAGCTTCATACTCAGCCTCATTGTTCGAACAAGAACCTGATATCTTGTACTTGAATGTTGTTGGAATTTTTCCTGGAGAAATAATCAAGACTCCTACTCCTGTTCCATCTTTATGGCTGGAACCATCGAAGTATAATTTTCAAGGTTCTATCTCCACATAATTAATACTCTCAACTTGAATTGAGTGGTCGACTATAAAGTCTGCAACCACTTGTCCTTTTACTGGCTTAAGAGGCATAAAGGTCAAGGAGTATTCAGTTAATGCTAGTGCCCACTTGCCAATTCGACTGTGCAAGATGGGTTTCGACAACATGTACTTGAAAACATCAAAATGAGACGAAACATACACATCAACTGGTTTTATATATTGCTTGAGCTTTGTACAAGAGAAATACAGACATAGACACAATTTTTCAACTTCGCTATATCTAGTTTCTGCATCGTTCAAAACTCTACTAAGATAGTAAATGGGTCTTTCGACTCCATTTTCATCTTCTTGGGCTAACATGCTTCCCAAAGTTTTGTCGGACGCAGCTATGTACAATCTCATACTCCTGTTGCTACAAGGAGGCACCAAAATAGGTGGCTTTGTGAGGTACCCTTTGATTTTGTCGAAGGCTTCTTGTTGCTCCTGCCCCCATTCGAATCCCTCTTTGTTCAGTCGAAGTAAGGGTGAAAAGGCTTGAGCTTTCCCACTTAGGTTAGATATGAATCTCCTTAAGAAATTTATCTTGCCTAACAGAGATTGCAGTTCCTTTTTATTCGATGGCGCTTTCGCTTCCAGAATTGCCTTCGTCTTGTTCTGGTTGACACTTGGTAATCAACAGACTTGTTTACCAACACCTTCAAACGTTTTCCCTTCAAACGTTGCACTTGGTAACCGCTGGGAACCGTTTTCCCTCCAAACATTTGAATTTCAAACCGTTCCACTCTGAACTATCGAACACCTTCGTCGAGAAGCATCTTCGACGAGAAACACCTTCGACGCCGAAGGCAACCAAATTCTCCCTTGGAAGAAATTCTCTAAGTACATTGCCATCCTCTGACGAACACTTCGACAGAACCAGCTGGTCGAAACCATCCTTTAGCTTTAATGGCTGATATTAATAAAAACAAGAGTGTCGAATTTAGGAGCCAACAATGATCATCCTCAACGAGGTAATCCGATAAAAGCACATTGAAAGAAGAATCCCTAGAAGAAGCTCCCTCATCTTGGGAGCTTACTGAAATCCTTTACTAATTGGAATCGTCAGTTAGGGATATTACCTCAGAGCCTAATAAGTTATAAATAAAGAGGAAGGGTTCGGACAAGGAGATACTCACGCTCTCGCAACAAAAGAGGCATCACTCTTAGAATCGCTAGCTATGTGAATAGGACTATCACTTACTTTGATCAAAGTATAGAAAATGCTAAAGGTAAAATTTTGAGTCAAGGAAGGTACATGGTAAAGCGAAGTTGATGAAAGCAAATGTAATAGAGAGATGTGGAGGCTTTCAGCAAAAAACTAAAATTATTTTGGTAAACACTTTCAGGAGGGAATAAAGGAAGGCACTTGTAAATAGAAACAACTTTGAAGGAAAACTGACTTTCAAGGATTGCGAAAAGTTTCATCAACACTCAACAGTTTGTATATATAGGCGAAGGTAAGCAACGAACTGGATCGACTACAAGGAGAAGTTACAAAATCAATGGCTGGATTTCTCCTAAAAAACGTAAACAAACTCGAGTACACTATAAGCATCGTCATGTCCTAACTAGTCACTTCAATCCACGCGTTAGAAAGAAGCAGTGAAACATTTCAATGATGAGAAAATATTTAATGCGCATGTTTCCCACTACTTTACATTTCGAGTTCAAAGCAAACGCCATTCTCATAGGCTAGCCACGACTGCTAAAGACTTCACCAACTCATTAACACCCGACAAGCCTCGGAGCAAACTGTTTTGGGCTGGTTAAAGGTCCAAATAGCTAAGGCCCGAATTAATGTAAACTGACTTGGGCGTTACGGTGTTAACTTTATATGTCCACCCCACCATCATATTAAAAGTCAACACCTATTTAAGATTATGACCAAAATATAATAATATCGATGTACTTAATAATTGAGTCTAATTCCCGCGGGGCATCTTAATTCTCTAGTTCACCTCACGAGATTAACTTATTTCACCTCAAAGTATCTCTCTTAAGTCATCCATATAAGTCATTTAATCGTCATGAATTGCTAGGCGACTTGTCTAACTCGGCGTGAGCATGCATTTTGTAGAATCCTTAAAACATTATGACTTTTCTCATTAATCCTCTATTTGATTCGCATAGTGAATTGCCTTTATCAGATATTGATCTATTTCCTATTGAAAAAAAATATTAGATAAGAAATGAAAGTACCAATACAATAACTAATAATGAAATCATTGATTAACTTTTATGTACAAAATCATATACAAATTGAAATTATATAGATACCTTTTCATCTAATAAAATATTAATTCTTGTCACCAATAATACAACTTTACATATAATAAGTTAAAATCCCAACCCGAAAGATATTTCCAAAGTTATATAAACCAACCCCCAACTTAGCCCACAGTTTCATCCTCTATAGTTTCATATATTTGGTAGCTAATTAACCCTCTCAAACCAAATATTCACAAACATGAGCACTACTTCAACTCACATCCACAAAGATATTGATGAACCATTGCTAGCACCTAATGAACCAACACCACCACAACTAGCATCATCGTTCACTCATTCATTTGGTTCAAAACATGAATCAGATGGTGAACTTGAAAGAATTCTCTCAGATACAAGTGTTCCTTTGGTTAAACGTTATGGACTTGCTTCATGGGTTGAGTTGAAGTTGCTTTTTTACCTTGCTGCCCCTGCTGTTGTTGTGTACCTTATCAACTATGTGATGTCCATGTCCACTCAAATATTTTGTGGTCATCTTGGTAATTTGGAGCTTGCTGCTGCTTCACTTGGAAATACTGGCATACAAATCTTTGCTTATGGTCTCATGGTATTACTCTATCTCTTATCTCTTAGCATAGTTTATCTTTTTAAAATATTATTTTAAGTTTTTTAATTTTTTTAATTTTTTTATTTATAAAAATCAATTATAAAAATATTAAAAAAATATTTACTAATCTATAACAAATAGCCCCATTAGTTTCTCTAATTATTTTAAAATTAACTTTGTTTTAATATCTCAAATTTTGATTAAAAAAATAAGACTTTATAAGGTTTAGTTCTTGAAAAAAAATTTAATAATATTTTAAAGCTGATTAAATGAGATGTCATTTTTTCTCATTTGGGATATTAATTTTATAATTTTATAATTGATATTTTTTTATGAAAAGTTGGGCATGGGGAGTGCAGTTGAGACACTATGTGGACAAGCATTTGGTGCAAAAAAGTATGACATGTTAGGCATATATTTGCAAAGATCAACAGTTCTTCTCACATTAGCTGGATTGGTATTGACATTAATCTACATATTCTCCAAACCACTTTTGATATTTCTAGGAGAATCACCACAAATTGCATCAGCAGCATCACTTTTTGTCTATGGTTTAATCCCACAAATATTTGCCTATGCTATAAACTTCCCAATCCAAAAATTTCTCCAAGCACAAAGCATAGTTGCACCAAGTGCATACATATCAGCAGGAACATTGGTCATTCATGTTATATTAAGTTATTTTGTTGTGTACAAAATTGGACTTGGTTTATTGGGTGCATCATTGGTTTTGAGTTTCTCTTGGTGGATAATTGTGATAGCACAATTTGTGTATATTGTGAAGAGTGAAAAGTGTAAAGATACTTGGAGAGGGTTTAGTTTTCAAGCCTTTTCAGGGTTGCCAGAGTTTTTTAGATTATCAGCTGCTTCAGCAGTGATGCTGTGTTTGGAGACTTGGTATTTTCAAATATTGGTTTTGCTTGCTGGGTTGCTTCCTAATCCTGAATTGGCTCTTGATTCTCTTTCTATTTGGTAAGTTCTGTTTTTAATATTATATGAATTTATTTATTTATTTATTGAATTAATCAAGTGATTAGTTTAAGTAGTTGGTGAGTAGTCAGACAAAACATTCTGAAAACTTTTCTTTAAATAAATATTAAAAACATCATGAAAACTTTGACCTTACATACATAGTAGAAAAAGTAAGAAACAAACAAATCACATCGTTACTGGTGAAGTGAGAAGACAACAATTAGAATACAAACTCTTTAAAATATGACTTTTAATGTGGACCATATGCTTAGATGAGTTGCTATTACCTATGAAAAAAACTTGTAATTTTATGAGTTAGATTTCAAAACATTTATAATTTTTTGTTTGGTTGAAGGAAATAAATTCTTTTGTACCGATAAACACTTTGAAAATATTCTTTTTAGTAAGAGATTGAAAGAGACAAGTTTGAGGGGTTTGTAAAAAATTAAATTTTTTAAACATATTTTAATTTTTTTTAACAAATAATAAATCAATGATTATTATTGTTATTAGAAGAATATTTTTAAATATAATTTTATAGTGTGTTTCATATTTTTCTTCAAAAAAAATATGGCACATATACCTAAATATCTTTTAAAAAATAAAAATAAGAAAAAATTACATATGTGCAAGAGAAAATTATATACTTATCTTATTTTTATTAGAAAAAAATATAAACTACACTTAAGAAAATAAACTTTAAGTTTTTGCTTTATTATTATTATTATTATTATTATTATTATTATTATTATTATTATTATTATTATATTTTTAATTATAAAATATTATAATAATATATTTAAAAATTTATGTAAAACTTCAAAAACCTTTAAAAATATGTCTTTTAAGATAAATTTTAAATTCTTTAAATTAGAAAAAATTTATGTTACGAATAAAAATAAAATCTATAAATTTCTCCCAACCTAAATCTTTTAATTTGTTCTATTCTATCCTTTAAAAAAAAAATTCTCCTCCCTTTTCCTCCAAATTCTCAAACAAAATAAGTGAAAGCTTTCACTTTTGTTTTATACTAACATTATAATAGGAATAAAGTAAATAATTGCTTCCATGTGTCCCTAAAATCATATGGTCAGTAGTAGTTAGGAAAATACACTTGGTTTTTTCTAAAGGTGGCAAAACATATAGATCGGATTAATATGGATTAGATTAATAATTGAAAGATCAAAATAATCTATCCATTAATAATTTACTAAAACCTTTTAAAAATATCTAATTCAATCCATCTCTATTGAAGATAAAAATTTATTCAATCCATTTGTTAATAACATTTTAATTAATGGACATTCATACATTCAAAAAGTTAATTAAATTTTCTTTTTTTGAAAAAAATCGATATTCTGAATTTTTAGAAAATATTGATTTTTTTGTATTTTCGATAAAAAGTTGATGTTCTTTATTTCTGATAAAAACTCGATTTATTGAATTTCTGTATAAAACTTGATTTACTGTATTTTCACAAAAAAAACTCAATTATAGTATTTTCGTAAAAAAAACTCGATTAACAGTATTTTACAAAAAAACTCAATTTACTGTATTTCTATAAAAAAAACTCAATTTACTGTATTTCTATAAAAAACTCAATTTACTGTATTTCTTCAAAAAAAATTGATTTATTGTATTTCGGAAAAATAACTCGTTTTACTATATTTTCATTAAAAAAACTCGACTTAATGTATTTCTGCAAAAACTCAATTTATTGTATTTTCATAAAATAAATTTGATTTACTGTATTTTCGCAAAAACTCAATTTATTGTATTTCAGTGAAATAACTCGATTTCCGCAAGAAACTCGATTTACTGTATTTTCACCAAAAACTCGATTTACTATATTTCTGCCAAAAACTCGATTTTATGTTTTTTCAGAAAAAACTCGATTTATTATATTTTCATAAGAACTCGATTTATTGTATTTCTGGAAAAAAACTCAATTTACTGTATTTCGATAAACAATGTTGCTTTACTATTCTCCATAAAAAATTTGATTTACTGTATTTTCACAAAAAAAAACTATTTTTAAAGTATTTCTCTATAAAAAAACTCAATTTACTGTATTTTTGCAAAAAAAATCGATTTACAGTATTTCTATAAAAAACTCAATTTACTGTATTTCCACACAAAAATTGATTTATTGTATTTCCGCAAAAAAAAACTCGTTTTATTGTATTTCTATAAAAAAACACGATTTAATGTATTTCTGCAAAAAACTCAATTTACTGTATTTCTACAGAAAACTTGATTTACTGTATTTTTTTAAAATTCTTCATTTATCGTATTTCCTCAAAAAAAACTCAATTTATTGTATTTCTGTAAAAAAATATCGATTTTTTTTCTTCTGTAAAGAACATAATTTACTGTATTTTCGCTAAAAACTCGATATATTATATTTCCGTAAAAAACTTGATTTACTATATTTTCAGAAAAAAAAACTCAATTTACTGTATTTCTGTAAAAAAATAAAATTTACGATATTTCCGTAAAAAAATTATTGTATTGTATTTCCACAAAAACCTCGATTTACTATATTTCCGTAAAAAAAACTTGATTTATTGTATTTTATAAAAAACTTGATTTATTGTATTTCTATAAAAAAAAATTAATTTACTGTATTTCTACAAAAAACTTGATTTATTGTATTTCTGCAAAAAAACTCAATTTACTGTATTTCCGTAAAAAAACTCAATTTTCTGTAATTCCTACATAAACTCGATTTATTGTATTTCTGCAATAAAAACTCAATTTATTATATTTCCATAAAAAAAAACTCGATTTATTTTATTTTATCAAAAAACTCAATTTACTGTATTTTCGTTAAAAAAACTCAATTTTCTATATTTCTGCAAAAAAAATCATTTTACTGTATTTTCGTCAAAAATATATTTTTTTATTATTTAAAAAAAATGATTTAATGGATTTAACGTATATAATCAAAATAATCTATTGGATCATTCAAATATGTGAGATGCATTTGATCAATCCATATATATATAAATGGATTGATTTTATCCAATCCATTAATTTACTTTCTATGCTGTGGATGAATTGAATAAATTTGTTAATAGATGAATTAAATGGATTTTGTCTTAATGAATTTAATTGGCCTAATATTGCCTAAAGAAATTTAATTTTCTCCTAATGTACCGTGAATGTGTTTCTATATTGTAGTGCCACAGTGTCTGGATGGACGTTCATGATCTCAGTTGGATTTAACGCAGCAGCAAGGTTTGATTCTCTTTCTATTACATTTCTGAATTCTATTCATCATTCTTGAGGCTGAAACTTCCAAGTTGTTGTTTTGATAATCATGCAGTGTGAGAGTGAGCAATGAATTAGGAGCGGGAAATCCAAAATCAGCGTCGTTTTCTGTTGTGGTGGTGACAGTGATTTCTTTCATAATATGTGTTATTTTAGCAATTGTGGTTCTTGCATTAAGGGATGTTATTAGCTATGTCTTTACGGGTGGCGAAGAAGTCGCTGCTGCTGTCTCAGATCTTTCTCCTCTCCTAGCTCTTGCGATTGCCCTCAATGGCGTCCAACCTGTCTTATCTGGTATGGTAATCTTTCATTATATTGTTTTTTATTTAAATTATTATTGCCATTCGAAATGTATCGTAATGATTGTCTTTTACGCCTAGCTTCTAGTTCCACTCTTTATTCTAATCACATATCTCATCTCTATTGTTTACCACTTCATTTTCTTTTGGAGGATACAATTTGTATGTACCACTTGAGTGAAGACTTATGTAAACCATTGATAGGATCTTGTCACCAAGATTTCTCCTGATTTGCTTTAGCACTTAATGAGCCAAATTTTTTGAAATGACCAACACTAAGTTTTTAATGTGTCCTAGTCTTATGTGGTGTCTTGTTCATCATTTTTTTTTTGTTGGACTTTTATTTGCAATGTGAACGGTTGTTGAACGTATGAGACATTTTCTTCCCTTTCAATATGCTTTTTGGCCATTTTCAAGATACTTTTATTCTTTCTTTTTGCTATACCATTGTGTTATGGTGTATATGGATCATTGCCTTCATGCTCTATTCAACGACAAGCTCCCGCTAAATCTGTTAGAGCTTTGCCTCTTCCTTCTCTTCCTCCGGCAGAAGACGATTCTGTTCTTGTAGCATCTCTTTCTCAACCTGCACAACAAGATATCGTTTCTCTAAGAATCAAACAAGGAGCATTGCAAGCTCTTTCGTTTTCTATATCCACACAACAATCTCACCATGGCGAACCATCGCACCAATCTCTTCTTCTACATGTTATATCAGGACAAGAAATGCTCATAATCCTTCAGCTGTGGCAGGTGAATCTCGGAGTATAGGGAGCACAAACTTGCTAAACTACATCTACAATCTGGTGCACCAACAGAATTTATAATGCGAGACTGAAATGATTCTTAGGATGGATGAGTATCATCAATGTGCTCCACCAGGATACGAAATTGTACGGGAGGCAATTTCTTAGGAAAATCAGGGTGTCGCACCATAGTCAGTTCATGCTAGCCCAACCACTCCATGAAAGAAGTCTTGAAGTCACCAACTTGCGAGCGATACCAATGATGAAGCGGAAGTCATACTCCTCACGAGGTCTGTTGCCCTCATCATTTATCAGCACGCCATCCTCAAAAGAAGAGAAAGATATGATGCATCCAGAGCGAAAGAAGAAATTGTTGTCCATCTACATCATCGATAGTAGGATTCCGAGGTCTTTGGAGAAGCCTCAAAAACTACAAAGCTATGATGGAATTGTATATCCAGACAAACATGTTCATCATGAAGATAACATCTCAGACTTATTATTTTAGTCAACTGAATATTTATAGTGTATAACATTGCCCATCATATTGGAATATGGAGAGAGAGAGAGAGAGTAGTGAAGACATGAATTGGAGATCCTGATCCAGGTTTACATCTACACTCTCCTAAACTCTCCAAGGGAGCAATTTGGAAAGAGTGTGTGAACACTTAGTTCAAGGAATCAAAGATCTAGAATTCATACCCGGTAAGGGAATCATCTATCACAAACTACTCTAAATACTGTTGCTTCCACAAGTGTCACGACCACAACACAAATAAATGCATTCATTTGAAGGGTTCGATAGAATAGCTGATTAAGAAAAGGAGGTTTATTGGGTACACTTGGGATAGTGACCAGAAAGGAAGTATTGATGTTAAAAAAGGGCGTAAGAGCCAGGAAGATTCTCCAAATAAGAAATTTTCCCCTTGCAAAGTAAAATCATCTCCCAAGAAAGCTATCGAAGTTGTTACTGTTATAAAATGAATCAGACTTCTGTATAAACTTGTATATTGCTCTTGTCAAATAAATTACACACTTGGTCTTTTATAGACTCAAATAACTTTTACAATTCTAAAACATAAACATAAACATAACTGCTACTATAACTTAATAACTTACTAAGACTTTTGTCCTTCCTACTACCATATTTAAAGTAAAACTTATTACTAGCACATTTAATGTTTATTCAACAAAACTCCTCTGTAAACTTAAATGTTTCTTCCATCCAGCATTCCTATCATCTTCTTGCCTCTGTCGAAGACCTCTTTCGCTAGTGGTTTTGTAAAAATATCCGCTGCTTGGTTTCTGCTTGCTACATGCCTTAATTCGACACTTCCCTCCTTCACATGCTCACGAATGAAGTGAAATCGAACATCAATATGTTTGCTTCGTTCATGATTCACTGGATTCTTTGCCAATTCGATAGCTGATTTAATGTCCACTTGTATTATTGTTGGATCTTCCTGTTTCATCTCCATCTTGCTTATCAACCTTCTGAGCCATACTGCATGACAGACGCACCAGGATTCTGCCACATATTCTGCTTCACACGTCGAAAGTGTCACTATAGGTTGCTTCTTCGATAGCCAAGTAAAAGTTGTGTTTCCCATGAAAAACACATATCCAGAGGTTCTCTTTCGATCGTCTATGTCTCCACACCAGTCACTGTCAAAATAACCAACTAACTTGTAGTCTTTTGTCTTTGAATAAAACATTCCAAGTGATACTGTTCCTTGGATGTATCTTAGAATTCGTTTCAGCGCCTTCCAATGTGTGTGTACTGGTTCCTCCATGAATCGACTCTATGCCAACACTTAGTGAAATGTATGGCCTTGTGCATGTGAGATATTGAAGGCTACCTACCAAGCTTCGATATTTGCTTCCTTCGACCCGTTCTCCTCCATCAAACTTTAATAGTTTTGTACCTGGTTCCATTGGCGTCGAAGTTGGATTGCAATTCTTCATTTTGTATTTTTCTAAGATTTCCTTTGCATATTTTTCTTGTGAGATGAAAATTCCAGCTTCTTCTTGTCGAACCTCCAGACCAAGAAAGAATCTCATCATACCTAAGTCTTTCATTTCGAATTCGCTTGTCATGGTGCTCTTGAAATCTTCGATCATCTGAACATTACTGCCTAGAAAGATAAGATCATCAACATAAAGAGCAACAAGTAATAAATCTCTTCCATTTTTCTTCACATAGAGGGCGGGTTCATAAGGACATTGCTCGAATCCATTCTCCTTGAAATATGTGTCAATACGTGTGTTCCATGCCCTAGGTGCTTGCTTCAGCCCATACAGTGATTTCTTCAGTTTCAACACCTTCTTCTCTTCTCCAGTTCTCATATATCCAAGTGGTTGTTCGACATAGATTTCTTCTTCGAGCACACCATTCAAAAATGTTGTCTTGACATCCATTTGAAATATTGGCCATTTGAACTGAGCAGCTTGAGAAATGAGTAATCGAATTGTCTCCATTCTTGCAACAGGCGCAAACACTTCGTCATAGTCAATTCCTGCTTTTTGTTTGTATCCCTTCGCAACCAGTCGTGCTTTGAATCTTTCGATTTCTCCTTGAGCATTCATATTTTTCTTGAATACCCACTTTACACCAATGGGTTGACTTCCTTTTGGTAATTCGACTAGCTCCCAAGTATTGTTGCGTTCGATTTCTCTAATCTCTTCGTCCATGGCACTTTTCCACTTCTTATCTCGTAATGCTTCTTCGACACTGATATTTTCAGAATCTGCCAGAAGACACACAAGATGCGCCTCACTTGTTGAATCATACAAATCTTGCAAACTTCTCATTTTTGGTTGTAGAGGTTCATCTCCATCTTCTGTTTCTTCATGTTCTGTTGGAATACTTATTGGTACAGCTACAGTTGTTTCTTCGACTGTGTCAACAACTCTGTCGAATTGTTCCAGTCCCACTTGCTTGCTTCGTTCATTCGAACGTCTCTGCTCACGATCACTTTCTTGCTTATGGGATTGAAGAGCTTGTACCCTTTCGTCTTCTCATCATATCCAATGAATATGTACTTCTGACTTTTGTCTTCAAGCTTTGTTCTTTGTTGATCTGGTACATGTGCATAAGCTATACTACCAAATACCTTGAGATGATAAATTGTTGGCTTCTGTCCACTCCATGCTTCTTGTGGTGTTTTGTCTTCTAACTTCGAATGTGGACATCTATTCTGAATATAAACAGCACATTGTACTGCTTCTGCCCAGAATTCTTTCGACATGTTCTTGCTTTTGAGCATTGATCGAACCATGTCAAAAATAGTTCAATTCTTCCTTTCAGCCACACCATTTTGCTGAGGTGAATATGGTGCAGTTAGGAATCTCCTTATGCCCTGTTATTCACAGTACTTCTCAAAATCCATTGAAGTATACTCTCCTCCTCTGTCAGATCGAATTGCTTTGATGTGTCTGTTTGTTGCCTTCTCCACCATTACTTTGAACTTTTTGAACACTTCTAATGCTTCATATTTTTCTTTCAGGAAGTAGACCCAGGTTTTTCTTGAGAAGTCATCAATGAAGGAAATGAAGTACCTTTTTCCACTGAAGGATTCTGGAGTGATTGGCCCACATATGTCAGTATGTATCAATTCGAGAATATGTTTAGCTTGATACTCTGCCTTCCTTTGAAATGAGGTTCTTGTTTGTTTGCTGAGCACACATTCTTCACAGAATTTTCCTTTGAAATCCATGTCTGGTAGTCCATGCACCATGTTCCTTTTTGCCAACCTTCTCAAACCAGCATGATGTAGATGACCAAAGCGCATGTGCCATAGTGACGCTTTGTCTTGCACTTCGATTTGCAGACATTTCTCTCGAATGTTCCTCAGGTTCAGTTTGTACATTCGATTTCTTTCCATTTCGACACTGGCAATCAGATGTCCTGCTTTGTCCTTCAAATGCAGTGTTCGATCTTTCATAAGTATCGAAGCACCTTTTTCTGTAAGTTGTCCCAGACTTAATATGTTGGTCTTGAGATATGGTACATAGTAAACGTCTTCGATTGATCCAATCAAGCCATCCTTCTGCAAGTAACTGATTGTGCCCTTTCCTTCGACCTTCACTTTCGATGCATCTCCAAAAGACACACTACCATCTTCAATTCCCTTCATATCTTTAAACAGGTGTTTGTAACCACACATGTGATTACTTGCTCCTGAGTCAAGATACCAAACACTGTCATTGGTGTTGATTTCGTTTTGAGCCATCAGGAGAAAGCCTTCAT